GGGCCATCTGGTGGACAGTTTGAAGCAATATCTTGTAAGTTTCCTAGTCTCTGGCTGTTACTGTCCTTTACCGTCATAACTGTTGCGAAGTAGTGAAATAACAATTTAAAAGGCACGACGTTCTTTACATCAACTAGTAGTGCCATCTGGTGGACACATTTTTACTGTCTGTTCTGTTTCTAGGTTATTACTGTTTTTTTTTACCGTCAAACTACTTGAAGTCGTGAAATTATATTTTTTTACAGCTACTACTAGTGCCGTCTGGTGAAAAATTAGTAAAATGTCAAATTTGTGATTGGTTCCTTCTGATTATAATGTTGTTATTGTCCAGTTTAAGATAATAAGTCCTAAACACTGACCGTCTAATTATTTTTATACAACAACAGTTTTACCTTATCTCTATATTTACAGATGTTATGGTCACTTAAGCCTACATTCCTGCATATGTTATTAATAATTACACCGTGAGAGAAATGTTACAGTTATTACAGACTTGTGCTGGAAATCTTCGAAGCTAAAAAAGAGCTGAATAAATTTTACGTACGGATTGGAAGAGATTGTTAACAAAAATGATTTATTGTTATACCGTTTTGTCAAACATCTATGATTGTACATGAAACGAACCGTTAATATTTGTGTGTTCCGCAAGTAAGATGTACCATATTCTTTCTTAAATTGACTGGAAGGCTTAATATATATAAATATATACGTATTTGTACTTATATTATTATAACGTTTTTATGGTAGCTTCATATTAAGGATTTAGGACTAGCATAGCAGACGAATCAGAAATAATTATTGTGCTGCCATCTAATGAATCAGAAGTGTTATAAATACAGTGATGCCATCTAACGAGTCAGAAATGTTATAATTACAGTGCTGCCATCTAACGAGTCAGAAATGTTATAATTACAGTGCTGCCATCTAACGAGTCAGAAATGTTATAATTACAGTGCTGCCGTCTAATGACTCATAGAAATGTCATAATAATAGTGAAGCCCGAAATGGTTTATTTAAGTGTTTTTACACTCACAAAAAAAAACCTATCATTCTATAGGTATTTGAAGAACTTGTAGCATTCCGCCACAATTTAATTCTTCGTATTGTTAGCCGACACTGGGCAGCTTTTTGTGAGTGTAAAACACTTAAATACACCATTTCGATATTCGATACCTCACTACTATAAAGGCTTGGTTTAGTCTGATATTTCATTGGTGGTAGTGTCCAGAGTCACTGATGAGGAGTGAAATTCTCCGAAACTAGTCTGGCTCACAAACACACCCACAATGAAAGAATAGACCATTCCAAGCTTTTATTTGTTGTTAAACAAATGTTTAAACAACTGCATTCAATAGTGAAGCCATCTAGCGAGTCATAAAAAAGTTACATTTTTCAAAAGTACATCTGTTGTTTGAAAGACGTAGTATGGGTAGCGTGCATTTGAAATTGACAACATGCCTGGGGCGCTGGTGATCCGTTAACGTTTAGACTGTTCACTTTGCTGTTGTGCATTAAGCATAATACTTAATAGATATTACCAGTTGCCAGGTGTATTGTCTACCTCAACAACTTTCATCACAATTACCATATAAAAAGTAAAAATGTTGGGGAAAAAAATCAGACATATGTGAAGTAATCTCGAGTATTCATGGATAGAATTTGCCTTTAAAAAAGTTCAAAGCAGCTAACCCGTACGTTGCGTAATTACAAAACGTACGGAAACCATAGTAACACTACCAACAAACGTAATATTGAAATGAAGAAGCTACGAATTCATGAAACATTTTCAAGTTCACGTGCACACATAATACAAATTCCTTTCTTTTTGCTAGTTTACAAAACACGCCCCCATAATGCATTCTAATAAGTTAAGCTCTCATCTAATTGGATAATGGGATTTTGTCGAGATGTTTAGAATTATTTTTCTTTTAGAGTTCTTTTCTTTCTTCATTAGAGTTTTACATTTTTCCAACATACTTAGATTGTTCTTTGTAAACAAGCTAAGGTTCGCTAATATTAAATGATCCGAACAAAATAATTAAGATGATAATTTATTTATTTTTCTCGATTTTTTACTTTAGAGCAACTTTACAACTGACTCGTCAGAGAACGGTGATAATTTTTAATCCTTTCTAGACTTCAATAGGTTTTTTTAGCACGCGCTTATTTTTTAACTTGGAATAATGATATACTTAAGGTAAGGCTCAGATCTCACTATAATATCATGGCTGGTACTTGTGCTTCCGAATGATCAATCATGTGCTATGATTTAATCTCAGATTTGATCTGAATTAAATACTAAAGATCATTTATGCGAGTCAAAGTAAAAGCAAGGTCAACTTGAAGACCCAACGTTAAATTTTGTATCATCAAAAACACAAAAGCCATAAGTGTGTAGTAACTTAACGTTCTAACTTGTGCACAAACATCATACCAGTGATCCAAGATATCATTAAGGATATTTTACTTAAAATAACGTAACACCAAGAATTATACACAAACACAAATAACATGTTATATCCTGACGATCTAACAAAATAAATAAATTAATTACGACACACATAACTTGGATGCAAACAATATATAGAATTATACACGGAATGTTCTTTACGTTAAAATAATTTTGGCCCTGAAACCGGAACCTTCATCGGACAACAAATGTACAAAGCTCGCAAATAAAAGTATCTTAACGTAGAGGACAGTCCATGTATAATTCTATATATATGTTAATTTACTTACTTAATGAGTCATAGCAACGAATCGTGTTATTACTTGTAACAAACATCCTGTGTCATAGCAACGAATCGTGTTAAAATAATTGTAACAAACATCCTGTGTCATAGCAACGAATCGTGTTAAAATAATTGTAACA